GCAGTTTTTGCCGGGAGAGAATTTTTGGAAGAGTCGCGGAGGTGATTTGGGAGAGGAGGGGGTTGAGTTGCGAGTGTGAAAATTTAACACGTTGCTGGTAGACGCCCACCAAGAGTTATCTCGTTTTTACAGTATAACTTTTCGGTGCCCACCACGCGTCGAGATGTTGTAAACGCATAGGAAGTCTGTGGGATTTATTTATTTTTTTACATCCTGTTCGGAGACGCCCGACCACGAGATAATTCGAAAGCACTTCTTTGCGAAAGAACAATTCAAATTGAAGTTATAATACAAAAATTAATATGTGTTTGTTTAATTCTATAGAATAAATTGAAAACAAAATGTTGGCGTCTAGAACAGATTTCTTCAAAATTGGCTTGGCAGTTAATGTGTTAACCCTTTCGCTACGGCAGATTTTAACGCGTAACGGCTGCAAAATTGCTTATTTTGGCCGTATCGTTTTGAAATTCGTTCCGTTAAATTAAGGTGGAAATACTTGAAATATAGAATTAAGGATTAAATTAGACTAGAAACGCGCCAAAAGGCGCGAACTGTACAGTGTGAGTAAATTTTCAAAGCGCCTATAGTAACGACAGGGTTAAGGATGAAAGGTGTCTCAGAAATAGAGGGAAATAGGGGTTGACAGAGTTACAGGAAAATTGTGGAAGATCTGAGGAAGGAAGGGAATAGGTGAAGAGACGGACGCAAAGGATAATTTTGTGAGGAAAGGAGCAACGGAAAATTTAAAGACGAAAGATGTTTCGGGAGGGTTAATAGTGTTGCAGGAGAATTGTGCGAGATCTGAAGAAGGAAGGGAACAGGTGAAGAGATGGGCGCAGAAAGACAATTTTGTGAGAAAAGAAAAGGATGAAAGATGTAAAGAAGGAAGGGAACAGGTGAATGCAAAAAGACAATTTCGTGAGAAACGAAGCAACAGAATTTAAGGACGAGGGATGTCTCGGAAGGGTTAATAGTGTTACAGGAACTCTCTGAGAGATCTGAGGAAGCAGGCGAAGAGTTGAGAGATGGATAATCTGCAAATTTGTGAAGCAAAGAGATAATTTAATCAAAGTCAAAGAAAATGGGGTTTCGGGAAAACTCTGAAGAATTTATTTCAACCCGATGAACGTAAAAACGAGCAGAACAGCGCACGGAAGAAGCTCGAGAAGATCGAAGTGAAAGGCCACGAGGCAAAACAGGGAAATCCAAAGGACGCTGAACGATGAAGAGACCGCGTAACGCGGGGAAATGCGGGAAAACACGCAGAGCCGTGGAAAAGGAGAACGAAGAGCACGAGAGAGAAAAAGGGAGAAGAACGGAGAGAAGAAACCCTGCCGAGTGAAAAATGGATGGAAACAAGCGGAACACGGGCAGAAAGGAAGGGGAACAACGCGAAGAAGCTGCAAGTCTGGTCAGGTTATAAAGTAATATATGAGGGGCGTAGAGAGGACGCGGGGGAAGAGACAGAAAAGCGCGAGAAAGATCTTCACGGGGAGAAAAAGTGGAAGGCGTGGATATAACGGAGCTGACGCGACGGCGAAGACGGTGAAAACCTGCCGCGGCGGGGATGAAAAATGAAACTTTTCCGCGGTATAATTAAAGAAACGCGATTGACACGGGCAAACTGGTCGCAAGAAACGCGAGAAATTCGAAAAACTCCTGATCCTACGAGAAGAACGACCCGAAAAAGCTAGGCAAATAATTAAAGAGCAACGCTATACCCTGTATCCAGAGGAAGGAAAGGTAGAATAAAAACCGTAGAGTCCGAGGAGCCGAGAGACGAGCAGAGAAAGCTGTTGCACAAAGGGTGAACCGAAAAGGAGATAAAACAGAGAAGTAAGGACAACGAGGAAGGGAAAAAATAACGGTAACAAACCTGGGTGTAAGGTGAAGCACAGAAGGAGGAGGAAAAGGGAAGAAGAGGGCCGAAAAAAAGGAGAGAAAGAAGGGGAGAAAGAAGAGGGAATCCGCCCCTTGTGGACTCGACACAATGGGACACGCACAATGCTGTGTCGGATAAAGGGTGGCGAGAGAGAGAGAGAGAGAAGGGCACCCTTAGCGTTTACTGCAGTGCTCTTCAATCCCGTTGGATATTTTCGACGAGATTTGACCCTCGTCTCGCATTTCTCTCTCGCTAATAAATGATAAAGCGCAGGGAGAGAAATGTGTCGTAACCTGCACCACCCTCCTACGACCATCAACCAACGATTCATCCCTTGGCCACTTCAGGGGAGTCTTCTTTCATTTCCGTCATGTGTACGAGGCTCGGAGGAGGAAGTTTATTCACACTTTCGCAGCTGATCAATGTTTTTTCCACGTTTAAATTTCTAACAGTGGAAGATTTAAGTTTCTAACATTGGAAGTTGAGTGGTAAGAATTGAAATTTCTAACAGTGGGTGTGGAATGCTGTAGATTTAAATTTCTAGCAGTGGACGTGGAATACTGTACGTTTTGTCATTAAAACAAATTTGCATGGAAATATCATGTCTGCAACTACTATATTTGCCGACTGAAATTGAGTTTATTCGAAATTTTTCGTATTTTCCGCGTCACGTGTACACAAATCTCTTTCACTTTCAGATTGAAACTGATTTCAACTTTGTAGAAACTCGCTTTGATTAATTTGAAAATATAAAAAGTATAAAATTTTTAATTAAAATGTAAACAGGTGTATTAACTGTACAGGTAACCGTGCAGATGTGTTAAGCGTGTATAACATTTTCACGAATCCATTACGCAATATCGATGTAAGCAATTTTTTAAACCGAACAAAATATTCAACGCGAAATTTTATAAAAATGTTCACGTAAACTCTAGTCTTAGATGTACATCCACGCTTTCAGCAGAATTTCAGTGGAACAGAAATATTCGGTAAATGTCCATTTTTCGTTTCGAACAGATTGATTACAGATAAAAAGATCATATTAAGAATCTATCGATTGTTAATCATTAACCTCGTTCTTTTCTGGACTTGCCTCACTTTCGAAGTAAACGCCTCAAATATTCACCTAAATTCTAATTAGGATATTCTCCCCTATCAGCCTACATTTTCCACGCGCGTCAACGTATCAAGCCCACTTTGACCAACTTCTCCGCCGAACGCGGTATCTTAGTCGAAAAGCGCAGGCAACAATGAAAAGACCTCGTACATCATACGCGACACGCTGCTGAATAATACTCTTTACAGAGTCGATAAAGACGCGTTACGCTTTAGACAGGTTGGATCAACGGGTTGATTTCATTGCACGCCGCGCGGAATCTATTCTCATCGATGCGTGGGGGATCGGCGATAAATCATTGGAGACGTTGAAAAGACGGTTTCCAACGACGCGAATCAACCTTCCTCCTTTTTCTAACCTCGGAAGGAAACTCGAGGCCGGGGGAGGAAGGAGGAAAAGAAGAAAGGAGGGGAATTCGTGGATTTTCCTTTAACCTCGTCGAACAGAAACTCGTTGCCGCGATGAATTATGAATTACTCCCGTCGAAAAGGGAGGAAAGGGCGAAGCATTCGAGGCTTTATCGTTCAAGTCCATCAAATCGCGGCGACGCACGGAAGTGCATGAAGCAAGGAGACGTTTGGACCGGTTCGTTCGTTCTCGTTCGCGGTGCTGCTCGAGATCGAGGCACGAAAATTCGCGATAAATCTCGCGGCTGACTGCCGGAATATACGCGAGGAACGCTCATTTCCGGGGAATTTCTGCGAGCGCGATTTCTTCGAGGTTCGCTGGTTAGAGGGTTCCGATCGATTTCTGTCACGGTCCAACCCTGCTCTCTCTTGTTATCGACGGGAAACAATGACTTTACGACGATGATAGTCCCCTTGATTATTCTGTGTGAACGTTTCTGCCGCGATTATTAACCTCTCGGCGGTTTATCCCGGGTGAAATTTGGACAGAGCGTCGAATTTCATAGCTTAAGGACCATTTACTAAAAACTAGTACATGCTAGACACTAGAACGTGGTTTATACATTCGTGCCCGTAATATTCCAGAGAAATATAGTTTTAACACGATTTACACTTAAGTTCGTAAGTATTGAGACATTAGTGAATATGAAAGAAATGTTTCGCGACATGTCGAACGTTCACGAGTGGGCACCAGGAAGGCATATGGCCCGCAGAAACTTTATTTCTCTACAGCCATAAAACGCTTCCTGAGCTTCGTCGCCAATTTGAAAGGAAATTTTAATTAACGCGAGGCAGAAAGGGGCGCATTCAAAAATAGCGCAAACAGGCGTCCGTGTCATAAACCCAATTCCTAACAACTGCACTCCAGTGAGAAGAACCACGCATTCTGTAAGAGTATGGTCGAGTGAATATAGGGACTCGCGCTGGTTTATGACCCGCAGACCGAGAGGTCCCAACGTCCTGACACCCCCACGCGCTAAAGGCTGGGTCAGTAAGGACCCCCAACCTGTGCCTGGGTGGCAAGAGAGGGGCGTCAAGGCACGTATATGTGGGATCAATTCGTCAGGAAAAAAAGCATACACCGTCGCATAGCCAGCCCGAGCCTCGGCGCGCTACCTTCAACTGCCTTCTCGTCCCGGGGCCCGCATGCCTCTTCTACGCTTCGCTCACGCCACGCCGGTACGCGCCACACGCTCTCACGTGTGTCGGACCCGATCGCCGGCGGATCAGTCCCCACAAGAGTATGGTCGAGGGAGCGTTGGGACTCGCGCTGGTCTATGACCCGCAGACCGAGAGGTCCCAACGCCTTGACACCCCCACGCGCTAAAGGCTGGGTCAGTAAGGACCCCCAACCTGTGCCAGGGTGGCAAGAGAGGGGCGTCAAGGCATATATATAAGGACGCGTTAAGAGTATTGTATTAGAACGAATTAGGAAGCGCGTAGTTGACAAGGACGAGGAGTCAACGACAGACTAAGTAATAACTATAGTTTTCAACATAATTTTAACTAATCCTGACAGATATTATTCAGACCAAAAGCCCTTAGAATTTCTATAAACCTGACAATTGCCTAGGATGTATCAACGAACACTTACCGAAACTGAATACAGACAATCAATGGATAACTGGCCGTGGATGTAGGTATCCTGCAAAGAGAAGAAGAACGAAGGTTAATTCGCGCGGATTACTCGTCGAGTGGATTGATTTAACGTGTAATACAGTGATTATAAACGGTGGAAATTTAGAGTGAATTCCAGCGACCGGGCTGAAAGTATTTCTAACCGATAGAATTCCGACGCTCTCTCCTGTTGCAAAGTCAACGGCTAAACAAATCGGATCAAAGCGGATGGATTGTGCGAAGCCGAGGGACTTAAATCCGAGCGTCAACGGTTAGGTTAGGTTCTGCGCTTTGTTACACCTACCGTAACTTTGTTTTTACGTTTTACCTTGGTTCGTTTCGAATTTCTATTGTTGCCAATTTCACGAATGCGAAAGTCAAGACACGGTTCTCTTTGGATCACCGGAGAAGATTCTGCGTTACGCGATATGCGTATTGGAAGTTTCGTAATACATATCTGGGGTCACAGATTACACTAATAGGAATATGTCGCGTAATCTAGGATTCTTCACTGGCAGAGCTGAATTGCCTAAATTGTATTTCTTTGGTAGTTTTTAATGTAAATGTTACGTATTTGATGATAAGAATATGAAACTGATGTTCTTCTTTTTTATGCCGAGGTTTGTTGATTGCATCGACTGTTATTAGGTCATCAGACGAAGTTCCATTTAAACTCAATATACGTATTGCTGTAATTCCATTTTAAAATACAGGTTTGTGTCTTTTACGAGGAATTTAATTGCGCTTTTTAAACGGTCCTGTTGTTAAGGATACTTAAGTTTAGACCAGGCTTACGATACGTACGCGACTCTGCTATTTTTCAGATTAAGGTTTGAATACGCGTTTAATGGTTTCGTTCGTTAGTTATTCCTTACTGTCAGGAGGGCTCCAAACCTCTCATAAAAGCGGAGAATTTGGAGTAAAATCTCACCCCCCGTCAAGGGACCCAAATGGACGGGCAAAAACCGTATAAAGGGACTGGGGTGATAGACAATAAGGACATTGTTGTAAGAACGCATTGGTGAAACATAGAATCTCAGGACATTGGACTCGCGCACATTTAACATTTAAGAACTCAGTTACATTGCATTACCGTTACATAACAAACTCGTCAAGGGACCCAAATGGACGGGCAAAAACCGTATAAAGGGACTGGGGTGATAGACAAAAAGGACATTGTTGTAAGAACGCATTGGTGAAACATAGAATCTCAGGACAGTGGACTCGCGCACATTTAACATTTAAGAACTCAGTTACATTGCATTACCGTTACATAACAAACTGTGCTGCAAATAAAGAGTTATTTGCTATATAATCAGGCTTCATGAACATTGTGGGAGCCAACACCTGTGATGTGGAAAAAGTGTCAAGTTTGATAAGGTCATAAGAAAAAATTAGGTAGGATTTATAGACTACTCTAATTTACTCAGTAATAGCCTAACAATCCACTTTTATTTCACATTTATCAATTCTCCTGAAAGTAGATTCATCGTTAAATGACACTGTTCGATTGTCCTCTTCCTCTATTCAGAAAGCGGGTCAGAGTTTCTAATCTCTTCCTCACGTTTTTAACACCACCTTCTATTTCTTAATTTGCTTTTACTTATTGAAGAAACTGTGACCCGTCCGTAGCAGCAATAACTTTATGAAAGCCATTGAACACCGTTAGTCTCTTAGTTTCATTATTTTCGCCTTTATTTTATGGCTTAGAATTTCAATTTTCGTTTCTTTGTTCGAACATGGGTTGCCTGAGTCAGAGTGCATCATAAAGATTCTTGCCTGCTACGGTCGCGGGCGAGGCATGTGGAATTTCCGCGTACGTCACTCGAAGGTACTCTCTTTACCTGAGGGTGACCGTTAGCTGGAGGGAGGTCACTTTACACAAAATTTATTCAGCCAATCATGTTCACTCGACCGATTCTCTAGCCACTGCCGAAAAAATGCAATTCAACCAATCCGCATGTCTCACCCCCGCTAACACACCTCGTTCAGGTTTACTTCCGGGAGATTCCTCGAACGAGGAGGCAGTTCAAAAAGACACTTCACGAGAACAAGACAAATCAAAAGACACATCCCAATTATCATTCCTTACCTCCGGAAACGATCGTAACGCGCCGTCTTTATTAAAGTTGATCGCGTTGCATCGCGAATTCGTGCAAAAACAGACACACTGAAATATTCACTTCATGAACCACGTCGTTCTAAATTATTACAAATTACGTCACATTACGAGGTACGATATCTCGTCGAGAAGAAGCACACGACACGATACGATATGCAAATTACAAGCTTGGAACGTACATAGGAAACACAGCGCTCGGCGTGTCTCTTTCCAGCAATTTCCACGCGATTCACAAATCACGCGGTACAACATCCCCCTTTCCTGTCGCCCTCCCCGTCGCACAACCGGCACGATTTAATATCGCTTCCTGGATCGAAGGGCGCGCAGTTCGAAAGTATTAGAACCGGCGACAGATGTCGAGGAGGGGCGAGGGAAGAAAAAAAGGCGGTAATACTTAAAAATTACGCTCGCCGTGTCGGAGGCTGGGCGCGTATCAAGGACGATCATTCCCTCGAAGGGCTCCCACTGTTCCCCGTTGGAAACTTATAAAACGCTGAACCGGCACATTTCACACGGCCAATTTATTATCCCGTTCTTCCCCATTTCCACCGCCCTTCTGCTCCTTTCTCTTCCACCTTTTTATCAATTGTTCCTGAGGTTTCTCACCTCTCTTCATCTCCGTTTGACGAGATCGGCCCGCTCGAACCGGAGTAGAATCGATACGCGACACACCGAGGGGAGGGAGAGAGCGAGAGAGACTTGAAATTCATTTTGTCGGTGCGTTATGCGACCCGGAAATTTGCATCGGTTGATTATCGCGCGGGAATGCTATTATCGAGTCGGCCGTATCGCGAACATTCGAACGTCGAACGTCATTTGCCCTCGACGTGTGTTCGCGCGAATTTTTACGCTTTTGTTTTTCGAGGGAATAAAGCGGAGGATTTTTGCTGCTTTTCTGTCACGTTATTTGTTTTCTGCTTTAATGCGGCGCTCGTGAATTGAATTAACACACGCGCCGAGTTTTAGTGTGCCGGCCGTTTTACAGTTTTCCGTTGAAACAATTGTCGTTCTGGAATTTTGTGTTCTTTATTCTGGAGAACGATACTTAGCCGATGACTTTTTTGTGAATTTCATTCGAATAATGCACTCAGATGCTGAGCTTGAAATTTCCAGTTTCGATGGTCGACGAGAGTTTGGCGAAATTAGGTTTCGTTCCCGATTGCAACGTCGTTCTCTTTTCGAGATGCCCGGAAAGTTGGTTTAACTTGGTGTTTCGTCGTTGCCCGACTCGTAAAGGAGAAGCGATTGCTCGTCGTCTGGTCCATAACTCACGATTAAACAGAAGCCGGAAGAGGGATCTCGGTGCTTTGCGGCGTGCAAGGTTCTGAAGCATTTTTCGAATCGACACACACACAAAGGGCCGGTCGAACGGAGAGAAAATGGCCGGGTCATAGATTTTTACGGGCCGTTCTCCAGCAGGCAAATCGCGACAATTTCGGCGGCCGCCGATGCGGAAAATGAGTTTCTGCGCTACCCACGGCAACTTCGCTGGATAACTCGCGACTCTGCCTGGAAAACTTCAGCCAAAGGCACCGCGCTCTTCTCCTCTCTTCCAAGAATGCACCTATTCCCTTTTGCATCTCTCCCTCTCCTTCGACTTTCCTCCTCTCTTCTCTCTATCTGTCTCTACCACCCTCTGGACTCTCCTGTTCCTGTGGACTGTCTCTCCTCCCTCTCTCGCACACCCTGGACTCTC